GGATTCCGATGAGAGTACCATTGTAAGTGTGCCGTTTTGTTGGAGGTAGTGATGATAATAGACAGAGTTTGTGAAAGTCGTTTACGAAGACTCTTGCCTAAAAGTGGCTGAAATTCGTTAGCGGATCCTCTTAATTGTTAATCTGTGGCATCTGAAGCCGGTAGAATAGCACATCTCACTTGTAGATGGTATTCTCAATTTCCAAGACCATGTGGTTATTATTCTTTGACAGTCCGAACTATCCGGCTCTTACTGATTGTTCGAACATCGATTTCGATGGTGTCCACGAAGAGCAGGGATGGTGAATGTAGGCAGGCATAGTGAAAGTCGACGAGCAGCCATTTACCACACTGTAAACCCTCATCCCACTTGAACCGGTGATAACACAGAGTTGAGATGATTGGATGAGAATCAGGCGTAAGCCGCTTTCTCCTATGCAGGCTAGAAACACCGCTTACTTAGACTTCAGTGACAGTAGCCTTTGGTGTTGGTACTACAGCACTGCCTACCCTCACTCACCTTCAGTAGGTGTCCAGAAAGACTCAAAATGGCCGATTCTCTTATTGTTATTACTATTTATACTACTGCTTACTAGCAGTGTAGCTGAATGATAGTAGTGCTTGTACTATTACTAACGCTAATATTTGTTCAGAAATGACACTGATTAGAGTCAGTGCTGGGCTCGTGCTGCCTCGACCTCGGCTACGAGTTGGAACATGAATTTAAGCTATTCCGAGTTAAGTAGATGCTTGGGGCTCAGAGCGCGTCAGTGCTTGTTGTGTTTTATGCCTCCTTTTACCTCTGTTCACCAAAATAGTGTTAGTTTTTCCTAAAGTTTAGACTATGAGAGCTAGGATGCTGTTACTAGACGTAGTATGCCAATGTCAGAAGTTCTAATTCTAGCAATCACGCTTGCTAAAGCCAGTAATTAGTACGCTACAACGCGGCCTGTACCTGCATGTAGGATATTTGAACCTACAATGCAGTCTTAATCTATATCAAAATATTAACACAACAAAGAGTTAAGGAAACGTGTATGCAATAGTAGCTGAAAATCTATCATGCATTTAGGTCGTAAGAAATAGGCATTTGCCGTTTTTTCACTCTATTTTTGACTGTTTACAGTACATAATTATAGCTTAGTATAGTATAGTATAGTATAGTACTAAAGAACAACAGTATGGCAATACAGTGCAGCACGAGTAGTGCAATATTGGTCATGGTGCGGGTACTAACGATGCTAGTTCGTATACTCCAGAGGGAACTGTTACCGTATTAACTCCAACGAGCACGTAAATACACACGTAGGGACTCGGTTCCAGATAGGGACAGTGGTGATTTTATAGCGACGTTTTCTAAGGGGAATTGATCTGGATTTCAACTAAGGTCCTTCTGAAACGGCACCAAAAACGAAAATATCTTAAGGCATGATGCTGTGTTTAAAAGAAAATTTTGTCACACCAAACAAAGCTCAACTATGTTTTGTGTCTTCCCACTTTCAGTGTGTTCAAGAGACGTGTGTATATGCACCTGTTACACCTCAGTGTGAACTTCAAACAACCTATGTAACCGATTACCGAGATAACTACAAACATAAACTATAAACATACTATACTACATACTACCAACTACCACGAAAAAATTGTGAGGCGAGGTACGCTGGTGAAACGGGCAAGCGCCTGGGCACGAGATTACACGAACATCAACTTGCAGTCAATCGCAAGGAAAAGCTGTCTTTGGTCTATGGTCATGTGCAACAGCTGAACCACGACTTCGCCTTTAAGAAAGTGAGGGTGATCGGCAGAGCCAATGAGAAAATGGTCAGACTAGTGCTGGATAGTTGGTCCTCCACTGGCACAATCAACAGAATTAGTGAAAGTCGTTTACGGAGGATCCTCCCTGAAATTCGTAAGTATATTCTGTTAATTGATAATCTGTAACATCTTAAGGTGAAAGAATAGCATATCCCACGTGTAGATGATGTTCATAGTACTGAAGACCGAGTGTTTTTTTAAATTTTTTAACAGTCCGAACTGTCTGGCTCTTACTATCGCCCTAGGAAATAGCAGTCTGAACCTAACCTGTCCTTTGTTCTTCTCTGTGCCTGGTCAATAGAGCCTTTTGAGAATCCAAGTTGCTACTGACGATATTTGGTCAAACTTTTAGAGCCTGCGACTGCTGTAACTGGCACCCAGACGATTTCGCATGTATAATATTTGAAATTATGTTTAATCTCGTATGGTTTTTAAGCAAGCATTAGCAGCAGTTTCCCTAATTGTGTAGAAACTGTACAGGATAGCAAGGCTGCCGTTTTTCCATAAGTCACCCCCCATTCTATTGTTGTTTCGGATGAATTGACAATTTCGACTAAGTAACCGCTTTGCGACGATGCCGTTAACAAGATTTTTTGCGGTCAGTGATAAATCTGTGATCGTCAACCAC